CAGCCTCCATCGTTGGGGAAACAACCACCGGAAACTTTGCCATGATTACAGGAGAGAAAAAAAAAATAGAAATGTCGGATCTGGACCAACATTTTTTGGTGTTTGGGAATTTGACTGGTTTTCAAAGCTTCAAAAAGCATCAATGTGCTCACATTCTCTGGAATATTTACTACCCAACATAATAAACAAAATGTTTTTCTATGTATCATCAGTCTTACAATTGTGGCTTGAAAATGTATTGCTGAAACTTCCTCAAATTTTGTAACCTCACCATGTGTGATTTTAAGTGAGAACAAGATAAACAACTAAGCTGAACGTAAATTATTGAAGGTTTTCAAAGTGTCTGACAAATGAGAATCTTAAAAAAAAAAGAATAGAAAGAAGGCTTGCAACTAAATTATTTTAGCAACTGATTAATCAATTATTTTGACAGTCGGATAACAATTCTACAGATTTTTAATTTAAGCATTTTTTAAACTATTAGAAATACATTAAAAGACACAACTAATACACAATAAGAACATAAACACCTTATAGCTTAAAATGCGACAAAATGTGCATTCCTTTAGTAAATCTGAACTGAGTGAATTTTATCTTAAATGCAAAATGTATAAACTTTTTGTACAGTTTTGACTTAATTACCGTTATGAATATGAGGTTTTTTTTTCAGCAGACCATTTCTTTAAGACTGAATACTCCAGTTAACAATTAATCGACGACTAAATTAGTTAACAATTGTTTCATTAAGTGATTAATCATTTTAGCCACTACAGGCTCGAATGACTTAAACCTGTTGTAATAAATCAGAAGTTTTCAAATATGAATCTTTTTCCTTCTGGTTCACAAGAATTTGCAACTTTGTGTTGGTCTATCCCACAAAACTTTGATTAAATGATAAATAATGAGACAAAATGTGGAAAAGGTGATAGTGTACGATTATTTTTGCGAGGAACATAAGCCTGTCTCATAGTGTATAATAAATCCATGAAGGCATGACTTTTGACATTTATGTTTAATTGCTGCATTGCTGATTTTATCTTCCTGGAGCCACATGTGACCATATTTGGACAGAGAGACAAGCTGAAGAACGATCCCTGAAATCCAACTGGACAACAGGGTGTTTATCTAAGGAGGAATGTCTGTGAGGAAGTGAATAGTTTTCAAAATGGCCACATTACGTTTCTCCTGTTGTTTATCCAAGAGCTCAGATTTTCTCCCATGGATGCTTCAGACATGCCCTGGCTCTAGTCGGCGGGTTTTCTGCTGTTCATTTTCCACATGGATTCGCCTAATGCACATTTAATCACAGGTTGGGCACATATCGAAGTCTAAACAGCGCTCTCACAAGCTCTTTTAGAGTTGTCGGCTGTCAATCTGAGCGGAACGGAGAGCTAAAACGCCGCGTTTCAAACAGAAGGTTGCGAGAGGTTCTGTGGGAACGTGTTGATCTTACATAACTAGTTTCATGAATCCAAAGGAACATTTTACTGCAGTTTTATTTCACAGTTTGTGCTGTAAACTGTAGCAGTATTTCATCTAGCTCTGCTCCTTTACTGTGTGCATCAAACCATTCAGACATGATTAATCTACACGTTAATGACCATCTGAAAATGAAGCTACATTTTCCGCAGCATGAATGGAGTTTATTCTGGCTGGGTATCTTGGAAATGAAGGATCTCTGCTGTTTATGTTTAGAAAAACAATAAGCTTCCCTAAAGAGAGAATGAAATGTAAAAACTTTGCAATAATTTGGTCCTGAGTTTACGATATGTGTAAAAACCTGGTTTATGGAGACTGCATCGTGATGCTGCTTCCTCTGAATATAGATAGTGACTGTTCCTGAGAGGAAGACGAGCAAAAAATAAAAATGTCTTATAGCTTCTTTTATTTTACATCCCAGTTGGCTACAGTCAATGCTAATGTTTCAAAATAAAAATAAAGGTACCCGACCACAAATGAGCTAACCAGAGCATCCTGGCTATTTAGGATCCTCATTGTTTATTCAGTTCCTCCAGGATTTTACAAATGTTTTTGTGATTTTCTTTTTTTTTTGCAATCAAAATCACTGATTTTGTTTTGCTTCTTCATAAATAATAAGCTTTCCTTATTAAACTCCTTCCAAAATCTACATGTAGGAGAAAAAAAATGAGAAAAACTAAGAAGCAGATAGACTGGACACAGAAACATTTTTATTCTTCAAAGAACTGAAATAACTCGATCACGGACTATAACTTGATATCAACTAAGTCTGTGGCAGCAGAAGAAAGAAATACTGACATCTGCAGGTGCGAGTTAGCATAACTTTAACCCAACATTTTTGGCCATTTTGTGTAAAAATTGCAATGAATTCATAATTATTCACCAACACAAAAAATGCCAGGAACTGTTGATTTTTGCATGAATTTCTGGAGGGACTATTTATTGATTTCTCATGTTTTGCGTTCTGATCAAATATAATGTCAGTAGCTGCATTTTCACTGCAAATGTGGGTAAACAATGTTTTGATATTCCACTGTTGAAAAACCACAATTTCGCAGTCGTGGTGCTTTCAACAAATAATGTTATTTAAAAAATAAAAAAAAAATCATGCATGAGTAAGTTTGTTTACACAATAAGTTGTTAAAAAAAACTTGGCACACCTTCATCCTCCTATCACTTCCTGTTATGGTCTTCGTTAGTTCTGCCAGTAGTAACATCTGTTTGTTGCTAAAGTGACTCATGTGATGCGAAAAAGTATTTCCATTGAGGTTTTTCAAAACACACCGATTATCTTAAAGCCAAAAACAAATCACCTCATCTTAGAGAAAAAAACATCTCATCAAAGAAACGTGAGTTTTTTTTTAAAATTGCTGTTTCCATTAAGCAAATTTATTTAATTCCAATTGACGCCAGCCCCGCCCCCTTTGGAAGTAGAACTGTCCTCCGACAACCCAACTGTTATTATGGCAGACGTAACGGACCTCAATGAGTAACCTGAGACATTTTTTGAGTCATTTTTGCCTTATAAACAAACACTGAGGCAAAGATGGCAGGCAAGTAAATTCTTTAACTAGTCCAAGTCAGGTCTATAAGGTTATTAGCAGGAAATAATGGAGAAGTCAACGATGAAGCCCAAGAAGGGAAAAAAAAAGTCTGATTGGATGTGAGTGTGAACGCTGTTGGACGTACTTTGCACGTAAAAAATGGGTGAGTAATGACTTAAATAATACCGGCTTGTGAAAATCTGCCTTCAGGAAGATGTTTAGAAATGAACAGTAGCATCAAATGATGCTTAAATGCCAATATAGCAGTAAGTGCAGTCTGTTTTCATGCTGCCAGAGCTACTGTTGGAATCTACACGCATAAAATCCAGCGTAACTACCTTCACTTATTGATCTGGAAATGATTAGATGTTTAGCATCGCTTTAATTTAACTGAGTTGTGTTTATTTGACGCTTAGCCGTCAGTCTTGCGTCGTTAGCACTGAGCCGTCAGCCTCGAGTCGTTAGCAGGGAGCTATCAGTAAGTGGTGGTATGTCAAAAAATGGGATGTTTATCACCGGTTACCTTCGTGGTGCTGACTAACGTGGTAGTTCCCGTCCATCAGTTTCATTCAACTGGACGTGGGCTGGGCTGCAATCCACAATCCATTTCTTGCATTATTCCAGACTCCTTTTTGGTTTTGGAAATGTAATATATTGTATTCTACCCTCTACACGTTCTAGGTAACGGCTGTGGGGATTGCATATTTCCCACTGACAATTTAGACCGTGATTATCCATTATTCTCCTCAAAATCTCTCTGACTGCAGCGTGTTTTCTTTGATAGATACTGTGAATGTTGTTGGAGTACTGTACTTGGAACACTGATTGGTCAGTTGCTGACAAAAGCCCTGGATTGATTTGGGGAGGACTGCTCTACGTCAGCATGGGGGCGAAGCCGGCGTCATGTCAATTATATTGTATTGTCAATGGAAACTCATCGAGTGACGTCTTTTGTCTATTTTCCATGGAATTAGCAGCTCCTCATTCACCTGCTTCATCTCCTCTACTGTAGGAACTCTCGGCATGAAAAGTTTAATCCCTACAATCACAGATGAAACATGTGAACCGTGGTTTTTGCACCGTACGGTTAGCCGTCTTGAATAATAAGCAAGCGCCGGGTGAATAAGTCTCACCTTTTCTACTGCAGCTATGCTTCTGTCTCTGACTTTCAATCACATATAGGAGAAGAACAAAGGTTGCTTTGGTTTAATGATTGGGAGGAGGATCAATATAAATCGGCATGTGGCTAATACAAGACGACAGGCAGTATTCTGACCTCAGGTCAATCAGAAAATCCCCAAATTTTGTCGTTTTAGTTATTTTTTGCTCACCAACTCAACACCTCCCCATCGTACCTGGTCGGAAACTCATCCTTCCTGTTGATGCAGATGGTCTGTCCCCTGCAGTACCACTGGTTGTCGTAGAAAAGCCGACCTTCCTCGGAGCGCGCCACATGGTGATGTCTGTCCGGTTTCACTGCAGGGACTTTCCAGTGAAACAAAAAGGAAAAAACAAAAGTACAAAGCATTGAGTGAAGCCTTCCAGCGTTAAGCTTGGGTCGATGTCTGCGCTCTGCCAGGTATTGACTGAAACCAAAGACTCTTACCATCCACTTTCACCCGATGAGGCGCCAAGGACGCCATCGCCTTTGAGGGAGGAAGAAAGGAAGAGATCAGAAAGCCTTCACGCCTGTGATGTTTGTCCACTTTTAGGATGTTACCTTTCTTATGGCTGTCCAGTCTTCAAGAATATCCAGGTCTTGCAGCATGTAAACAATATAAGGCCGTAGAAACAGCTAAAGCTAAGGAAAAAGCTACGGTCTTCACATGAGACGTATTGAGAGGAGCGCAATGAGCGAAGAGAAGGATGAAAGGATATCAGAAACGACGACAGGCTTCTTCTTCTTGACAGGACAGAAGGGATCTTTTTTCTTGTTTTTCCGAGCCTGCAGTCCATCATTCCATAACTCTGGAGGGCAAAGAGGAAAGATAAAACAACTTTATGACTAGAACCAGAGAAGTTTGCCACCAAGGCAGGGAAAAGACAGTTCCTATTCTCTACTTCTCTATTTTAAATTGGTCAAGGTTTCCTAGGAACCTTTGTTTTCCTGGGATACTAATTAGATGCGACACAGAGGTCCAACTCTTATCGACGAAAACCAACATTGATCTTTCCACCCTGCACAGCGAGGAGGATAGTAAGACACGTGGAACTGGACGTCCAAAGCTCAAATACATGTGAAGTTTGCTAAACTGTGAGGAAGAAAGGCACTAACTGAATTAGCATCATTATAAAGACTTTTTTTCTGTCAGGGAACTTTCCTGACCTGGACCAGTCGTCTGAAATGCTTCGCAAATTTTTCAAATTTGACGAGACTCAATGGTATTGGAAGCACAGAACCTTAATATTGGCTTAAAACACTATGACAGAATATCACACATTTGTATCTACAAGTAAATAAAATATTTTCTGAAATATAATTTGTTGGATTGCTGCATTTTTCCCCAATTTAAAATAAATGTACATAAAGTACAACTATTCTGGTGGTGGTTTGTTATTACCTGAGGTAATGTCAATACTGTGCCTGTCCTCCTCCAGTCTTCGTATCTTCTCCTCCAGCTCGCTCTGCACCGTGTCAAAAAGCAGCAGCTTCTCACTCTGCAAAAACACAAAAAGGTCAAAACTTTGACTATTTCTTCAAAACACGCCTCACAAAGCTGACAAATATGCACGTTTTCCAGCTTTCCAGCGCATTTTGATCTCTCACCTCCCAGTGCTGGCAAGCAGCTTGGATTTCGCACTCGTATTTGTTCTTCACCGACTCTAGGCACAAGTCTTTGTAGATCCCTTTAGAAATACAGCATGAATGCGGTTAGACTGTTTGAGGTTAGCAGCCGCTGAAGGTGGGAAAACCCCCCTCCTCATTTCGACTGACCGGCTACTTTGGTCCGGATCTGCATGTTCTCCTGCAGGTTGGCCAAAGGCTCCAGGTACTCCTGGGCGCAGCCGGCCATTACCTCCTGCAGCTTTATCTCCACCTGGCTGAGGCGCTCCTTGTACAGCCTGAGAGGCAGAAAATAGCAGATTTATTATCAGTGCATGTTTTGTTTTGTATGCTACATCCACAAACTTTAGTGCAAGTGGCTGTGTTCATGTGCTGGATCAACAAAAGCTAGTGCATAATTGGAAGATAATTTACACTGCTCTCATATTTTTAACCACTAAAAATTAGAAACTTTAACACTAAAGGTTACTTTTAAAGACATTTACCTGCAAAGGACTAAGGAAAATAATTAAAATTCACACCACACCTTTCAGAATTGACTGTTTTCCTTCCATTTGACAGTAATAAAGAGGTGACAAACATCTTCAATTTGCTCTGACTATATACATGTAATAACTCACTGCTCCTTCAGGTCGGTGAACTGTTTTTCTAGTGTTGTCATCTCATCCAGACACTCCATCCTCCTCCTCTCACAGTCCTCATCATCCATCTCTGTGAACGTGAACGCATCACAAGTCTGACATCACCTCGCATCAACTGTTTTTCTCATTAACCCCCACCTACACCTTAAATTACTGACTCCTACAAATCAAAGCTGGAAAAACATATTTTGTTTAACAACATATGCAAAAAAAATACCTATGTAATTTTAATTTTAATTTCGGTGTATATTGGTGGTTAGGGCCTGTTCGTCTTACCAGAGCTGTCTCCATCTTCAGACACGGACGAGCTAACCGTGTCCTCCTCGTCTGTGCTGCTGCCGTCTTGCTCCGGAAAGTCCACCTCCATTTCTTCGTGGTTGCTTTCTTTCTTCTCCCGTGAGTGGACCGGCATGGCAGCTATCAGAACAGCCGAGATTGACGGCGCGGCAAAGGCCGTACCTTTACGCTTAGCCCCCCTCCAGGAAAGAGGGGAAATGCTGCTCAGACTGCTAGCCGGTTAGCCAGCCTCGCTCTTCTGCATTCTCCCAGCTGGACACACTATCATGGCCACCGTCAACCAATCACAGCAGACTCTACATATGACAGCCAATCAGCTGCCGGCATTAGAAGTAAGATACGTCACCGGAGTGGTGGGGAGTTGTAGTTTTTATTCCTTTGTCCTGTAGAGCCAGGCACTAGAGTCTGAAAGGTTAACAGTTTGTGCACCCGCCGAAGGCGTTGTTAGCATACACTTGAATATACGTATTTATGTTGTTGGACCCTGGATTATTTAGGGCTTGGCCAAGTCCTGTAATAGTTGGAAGTTTCAGACAATAGCGTCAAAGATTTTACTTAAATAATTCTTAAAGTAAGACTAAATTGTACAGGTTAATTTTTTTAATGAAAGTGTTTATGTTTTTCAGAATAATTTAAACAAACAAACAAAAACAAAATTAAGGTTTTAATATTATGTTTTTATTGCAAGCAACTGGAGTGTTTTTATAGGATTTTCCAAGCTTGTCGGCGCCTCAATAAAAACGCAGGAATTCTGACCGTGAAACCCAGAGATTTAGTGTCCAAAATGGCTGCAGTGGAATTAAAATAGAGAAAACTGAACTGTCATTAACACTTAAGACAAATTCGGTCAAAAGGACTATGCTCACCGAAAGAGGTCGTGCAGTACTCTATGAACCGCTTTTATGAGTTTAGACTGTCATTTTGGAGAATTGTGTATCTCCCGCTGGGAACTTGGAAAATCCAAGCAGTACAACAACAATAACATTCAAAGAGATTAGCTTTGGCCTCATCTGACCTGACAAATTTCTGCCATTGTTTCACTGGCTCGTCCAAAGTTTCTGCTGCAAATTTTAAATAAGTTTTTAATGTTTTTCTTCAGCAACAGAGTCTGGCATAATGAGTCTTGCATACATGCCACTGCAGCTAAGCATGTTACCTATTGCTTTCATAACAAAAATAAAAATGTGAATACAGTCTCCTCTGTCAGAAATCTTCCTGGCTCAAGCTGGTTTTAGGTGAAATGATGCTTTCTCCTTCTGGATTAAATCAAAGCTGTAACCACTGTTATTAATATGTTGTGCAACATTAAGACATTCTCTCTTAGAGTTGTGACACTGTTCAACACTTCAGTAAGAGGGAACTTTTTATACTCCATCACCTTTGCTTTCTAAATACTGACAGATTTCTGCGGATTTCTTGGCTTGATAAGCCGTTTTGTAGATCCCCTTTTTTTCATGTGTTCAATAGTTCTTAAATTTCTTTCTAACCTAAGAAAGAAATTCTTAGGATTATTAGGAAGAATTTCTAATCTAAGAAGAGTTTCTGCTTAGTTTTTAATCTGATAAAGGTTACAGATAAGTGTGACCCTTATATAAATTCACAGTTTTACTCTGCTGTATTTTGTAAAATACTCTTTTCAAATGTTGTCAAGCTAAAACCACTTCTCTGTATTTTATGTGAAAAACACAAAAAGCGACGTCACTGTGAAATGGAAAAAGTGATACACACATTTCAACATCATGAAACAAATAAAATTTACAAACGCGTGGCGTGCTTATGTAGTCACAACCCTTTACTCCAATACTCCCGAGGGCAACCAGATGCAAATCATCATAAATCTGACAGATGAAGATGGGGTCTTTTTACACACAGATTAAAAAGCCCCTCCGCCTCCCTTTTTTATTTTCCTTTTTTGAATATCATTTTAATTTCAGCGTTTCACTGTGTGGTGTGTAATCTGTTTATATCCCTGCTGTAAATCTGCTGGAAACTGAAAGAAGTGAAGGTGAAAACAAAGGTAGAGCACCAAAGAGAATGAATCACAGGAGCTGAGTCACCATGGTGACAGCAGGTCTTCACAGCGAAGGCGGCCGGCGCGGCTGCAGAGGTGACAGAGAGAGAGAGAGAGAGTGGAAGAGGCATGTAGCGCCCCGGGGTCGGAGTTGTGGCAGTGATGGACGGACCGACGCCTGATGGAGACCTGAGATGTTGCCGTCGTCTCTGAAAGTGATGGGCCAAAGAAACAAACATTTGTGACATGTTTAAAACTTGGAGTACTGTTTTATAACCCAACTATTGCCTTAATAGTTGGGTTAAGGCAATAACCTGTACAATTTAGTCTTACTTTAAGAATTATTTAAGTAAAATCTTTGACGCTATTGTCTGAAACTTCCAACTATTACAGGACTTGGCCAAGCCCTAAATGATCCAGGGTCCAACAACATAAATACGTATATTCAAGTGTATGCTAACAACGCCTTTGGCGGGTGCACAAACTGTTAACCTTTTCAGACTCAGCTTTATTCTAATTGATTTACTTTTTGTTTTTACTACTTGATTTACTAATTGATTTACTTTTTGTTGATTTACTACAAATATAGCAAATTTCCAAAAGATTTTTGAGCATATTAAAAGAGGGGTGGGGACACAGAAAACAATTGAACAATGGGTTTTTATTTAAAAAAAAAGGCAAACAATATTTCTATTTCCATCTATATTACAATTATCCACCACTTTCTGGGTCTGTTCCATGAAATTCCATTGAAACACAGAGAGGTTATGGGCTACAATGTGAAAACAGTTTTATGTTATGTTATGTTATGTTATGTTATGGTTTTAATAGACACATTACATTTCTAATTAAGTTTAAATATGCGCTGTGTACTGACTACCTGCAGTTTAGATTATTACCACATGGGGGCGGTCAAGATCTTTAATTTAGAAGTGTTCAATACGTGTTCTTATTAATTCTATTAATTGCAGTTTATTCTCTAAGTCAAAAAATAAACAGTAAGGCAAGTTCAAAAGAACTACAGATAATAATAAAAATAATAAATAATATAAAAAGGACTGAACAAAGAGAGAAAAATTAATCATGCACAAAATATGTAACCCCCCCCCCTCCCAGCCATCAACTTATTTTCAGACTTCTACTGAGGGGTTTAGAAAAAGATTGTGATAAAGTAGTTCAGATTAAATCAGAATAATCAGATCAAAAGCTTGGGACTTTATGCCACCTGATACTAGCGACACCTACAGCATCGGAATACGTAGGCTCGGGCCTCGTCGAATTAAAAAAACGGAAGAATATGAGACGGCAGTAAGAATCTGCTCAGCAGATTTTGTGGTTTGCCTCACCGCCGCAGCATTTCTGTGTCAGCCCCTGTCCATTTTCACAGAGCCTGTCAGGAAACTTTGGTGATTGAAATATGTAACCAGGTCACTACAGTGTGGAATCAGAAAGTCTGAGACTTCATTTGGTGTTTTTTTTTTTTTTCACACATCACTCTCCAATCCTCCCTCCCCCCTCCCCCCTCCGTTCTCTATGTCATTCGTCATTTATCATTTGAGCGCCACAAATAAAGGAGGAAAATAGGAGAAAGGTAAAAATGAGGCAAGAGTGACTAATAGTCAGCTGTGTCTATTTTAAACTCTAATTACTTCTCCAATCTAAAGCTGTGCTCTTGTCTCATCTGCATCAGCTCTGGACGGACAACATTGGATTTAAAACGTTTCCACACCCATTTTTTAGTTTAAATAATTTAGTTTAAAACAACTTCTCCCAACAAAGTGGATAGAGAAGGAAAATCTAAAAGAAAAAAAACCCAGCAACAACCTTAGTTGCAGAAGTGTGCACCCCCTCAAACATTTCTTTTCCCCCCCAGTTTAATAATATAGAGTATGTGTTCCATAAACGGTGCTGTGTCATTGTCTAAATTTGAAGTTGGGGAACTCTCTGGTTTGACCTGTTACTGTACAAAAACCAGAGAAGCTTGCTGACCTGGTTGGTCAGTACACGGCTTTTCTGAGCACAGAAAAAATACATACTCTGTACCAAATTAGTCACTACATTTGTTCAGAAAGGCAAAAACTCCACAGTTATCACTGTTTGTATGCCTCAAAGGACATATATGTTTGGGGTTTTTCCTTAGAATAATGAACTAAAAAGGCTAATAAAATCAAGAAAATCCACCATTTGGCTGAATCCATTTAATCTCAATTTTTAATCCTTAAAGTACGAATACCTGACGTGGTCCGGAGATTTCTAGGAGTAAATGTTTGCTCTGTATAGACTTTTGAACAAGAGCAATGACAAAACACCCTCATTTATGTTCTAGCACTACAGTAGTGTCCAACATGGTGGCTTCAAAAGTCAAGAAGACATAACTGCACAGGCTATAAATGTAAAACAGCCATTTTGGATTTTAAAACTGAACTTATTGAGCTTCCTCAAATGTCCCTCACATCTGAAAAGAAAAACAAAAAACTTTTTCAGGTGGTTAACATAAATTTGTTTCAGCTGTGCTTTTCGAACTTTACCATCACAAACCGGGCTACTTCCTGCTTTTACTCAAGCAATATTCTATTATAAATTTGAACTGTATAACAAGTTAAATACCAAGCTAACTAATGAACTACAGTGGACACTTACTCAAGGACCAGCTGTTCTGTGAAACATGACTCCAAAGTATTCATGGAAAATTTGTGTATTAAACAAAAATTGCAAGTTGGGAAACTGACATAATGCTACTTCAGACACTATAGCCAATCCAATTGTTTTGCCACTGATTGGCCACACCTCTGAAAATTGATATACGCTTTCTCTTTAAAGGTTTTATTGACTCTAATGCCCTTTATTTGATAGTGAATTAATAGGAAAGAGGGCAATGAGAAAATGGGGAAAACATGCGGCAAAAGTCGAGCCTGTGACAGTCACGTCGAGGACGAAGGCCTTCATATGTGGGTTGTGCTTAACCCCTGCGCCACCACAGCACCCCCTGAGATAAGCTTCGTTAGTAGTGCTAAGAGGGTTTCCACTATGTGTATTAAGGCATTAAGGTATATCAGGTGTTTGAACAATTGAAAAAGGCACTAATTAATGGTTTTAGAGGAGGTCTCTCGACAGAATTTCTTTGAATTTCAGCTACTCTGGGGAGGTTGTGGTTCCTAACCCCTGAGAACAGCAGGGTTCCACTGTAAATGATTATTATCATATTGGCTCAATCAGATACCTATCTTAGGGCAACAAGACTGACGCTCTACTATG